AGAGACACAGCGAGAGAGGGAACACAAGCAGGGGGAGTGGGAGAGGGAGAAGCAGGCTCCCCGCAGAGCAGGGAGCCGGATGCGGGACTCGATCCCAGGACCCTGGGATCATGACCTGAGCTGAAGGCAGTCGCTTAACCAACTGAGCCACCCAGGTGCCCTATTCAGTCCTTTTTTATCCCTTACTCCTTTTTAAAGTATTTAAATGACTTTAAATTGATATGCTTTATTATTTATCATCAGTTGAAATTTTAAGAGTGTGGTTGTAGTCTTTAGTATTACATTGATATATTTACTATTCTCCTGTCTATTTACACAGAGTTCTAAAATTCTACGAACATTTCTTTTCAAATACTAATTTTTCAGATTGTGTAGTTGCTTCATTGTGTTTGTGTGTCTCTCTGGCATTGGCAGTGGTCACAGATAACATGTGCTCTTTATTCTTCCAGGAAAATGGTGTATATACAATAGCAAAATTAATTTTACCAAACAAACAAAAGAATGCAGCAAAAACGAATCTATTACAGGTAATAAGCATGTCCATTGTTCTTCTGTATCGAGTTACTGAAATCTGGGGAAACTTTGAGAATATAAATTCCCTCCCAGTCTCCGTACTGACTGGGAGGAAAAATATCAGGTGCGGGAGGCTGGCATGAAAACAAATGCTGTCAAAACAAAATAAAGGGTTTAACAGTGGTTTCTCTGGGCGGGGGGGGGGATCAGGTGATTTTATTTATGTATTTCTTTGCTTATCGGTAAGTTCTATTTTTTTTTCAAAACAATGCTTATGTATCAGAAAACTGTAAGAGGAAAATTATATTCCATCTTTAAGCATGGACCACAGTTGGTAACATTTCATCTTTACAAAGGAAAGCCTGTAAAATGGATCTTGGTGGACGAGAAGAGACTCGCCAAGTCGCTAAAGGGGTGTGAGTGGGGCAGCCATGGCATCTGCTACAGGGTGGAAGAGCATTCCGCACAGAGGGAACACCATGTGCGAAGTGCGAGAGCCAGGCAGCTTAGAGTGTGCTTCGGCCGCCCAGCGGAGCTGGGGTGTGTGGACGGGGGAGGGAGATGAGGCCTTGCAGGCAAGAGGGGTGCACATTATTGCAGGCTCCTGCGTGCTATTTTAAAGAGTGGGCATCAGGGGGCCAGTGTCCCTGAAGATACTGGAAAGATAAAATCAGATTGAAAGTAAGCCTTTGCAGGACTTGCAGCTCATTCTTTTCCCCCAAGTCATTTAGAGAGGAAGTAAGAAACCATGTTTACCTCCAATCCAATCGAAGGGCTGTCACCCCGAATGAGAGAGAAAATGAGCAGAGAAGTTTTGGTGGTATCCGTGGGCTGGCAGGCAGAGGTTTTAGAGAGCTACCCATGACAACGTACAGGTGCGGGACTTAATTTCTTTGGTGCACCACAGAGGCATGATGTGATGCTGGACAACAGAAGAAGTCAAACCCACCTTGCAGATGCATTTTGTTAAGCCAGTAGAGGGTTTCTAAAAATTCACATTGAAATGATTTTTGAGGGACGTTTGCATCCTGCCCTTTCTCACTGCCTCCACCACCCTCCACCAGGCTCCGTCATGTCGTTGTGTCATCTGCCTGCTTCCCTGGGCAATTTTATTTGGGACCCTTCGGTATTCAGACCACTAATTTTATGGAATGATTCCAGATCTCAGTTCAGCAGACCCCGATCACCCCCGTGGTGGCCTGTGTACAGGACCGACTGCAGGCTGGGGGCTCTCTGTTTTTTTTCTTGGCACTGCAAAGTCACAGACATTTAGATGTTTATTTTTCTTTAGTAAAGTCTCACAGGCCTCTTTCTGAGTGTTCTCGGGTATAGTTCTACTGTAGATTGTTCTGTTTGGGAAACGCTTAAGACTCTTTACTCAAGAGACCAATTTGTCAAGTCTGAGTCCAGTGTGCCTGTGGCTATTTTTATATGTTATCATTTCGAGTGTTTATTTTCTCATAGAAGCCATATAAATATTGAGGCATACATAGCAAGCTAGAAACAAAATAAACCTTGAGCTCCTGAAAATCTCTGGACATTTGGTTTTCTCAGAGTAGGAATTTTATTTCTGGTCTCTGTGTTCATTTTGTACTTTCTAGAAAGGAATTAATGACAAGTACTGAGTGGAACGAGGCTAACCTCCTAGCATTCTACAACGTAAATGCTTTTTAAAAATATGAGACCTACCCCAGGTATTGATGGTTTTTGTCTTTAGTTATAACCTTTGGCTGCCATGGAGGTCAGCCACTCACAGTAAAGTCACTTTAATGTTTAGTTCATGATAATTTTATCCTTGCAGTGTTTTAATTTGCTGAGCTACCTTTGAGAATCACGCACCCTTTTATTTTCCAGTGTTATGCGTTCAGAGCCTTGAGGTTTCTCTTCAGTATGGAAAGAAACAGACCACTCTTTAAAAGGTATGAGCTTAGAGAAATTTAAGTGACCAGTGATCATGACATTGAACTGTTTTCACATGCCTGATTTAGATGCAAACAGTAAGAGAAGAATGCATCAGTATGCAAAGCATGTGTTTTCAGATTTCTTAGAATCCACAGATAATAAGACTGACTTACCCTGGTGATATCTTAACACTGAAAGTGAACTAAATGATGAAGAAAGGGAATAAATCACTCTATCAATACAATTCTTAATTACTGTGACTGCTATGGGTTTTAGTTTTTATTTTTTTGGACGTTAACATTTTAAATGGATGACATAAAAATATGTGCTTTTTCTTACGCATTCAGAAATTCCAAAGTTGGTCTAGTCATTTCCTCTGTATCAGTGGAAAAAGAAGTATTTTCAGGGTATCCTTCATAGGGCAGGAGCTCATTTGATGGGGAGGAGGCTAGGTGTTCTTAGGTCAGGAGGCTGTGCTGGTGAGTGTGACAGAAAAATCAGCCCCTTGGGAAGCAAACACTAGTTACCTACGTGTGTGGTCTGCATGCGCCTGGGTTGGCCAGGCTGGCCAAAATCATAGGCCCAAGTTCTTACTAGAATTCTATTGATATAAGGCGGAATAGAAATAAGAACTTGAGTTAATATAATGTGTTTTGTTCTGAAGCATTGGAGCATTTTATGTTGCTACTTTATTTACAAATGATGTTTGAATTTGAGGGAAGAAAAGGAAGTAAAGTTATTATAACCTTTTATTTCAAGGCCCTAAACCATCCATTTTTATGGACTTAATGATTTTACTAAGCCCTTGAAACCAGTACCCTGCAAATGATGCATAAATCTCTTCATTTTTTTATTTACCTGTATTTTTATTTTATTTTCATAAAACATTTAAAAATGGGGTTAGTATTTACCTCCTAGGGTTAATAATGAGGACGGAATCAAATGGTGTTTTTGAAAGTGTTCATCACTCCATAAACACCCCATAAACATTCCTTTCCAAAATGCTTAATGCCTGTACCTCCAAATATCTTACAAATAAGGTCTTTGTATAATCTGTGTCATAACATGAGATCTGCCCTCTTAATAAATGTTTAAGTGTACAGCACAGTATTGTCAACTATAAGCACAATGTTGTACACCACATCTCTAAAAACTTTCCTCTCTGGTTGCTTTTCATTATCCCTTAAGACCTGTAGTTCTAGTTCATTTTTGTGAGATAAGCTGGTGAGTACTATTTGCCCCCACTTTGTTGATAACCTAAGGAAGTTGAGTTTATTTAATGTAATTAATCTGTGAGTGAGCTAGATCCTAAAGGGAAGGAATGAGCAACAGTTACCAAGCCCTACATGAAGTGTCTGTGTATGTTTTCCCTGTAGACTTTTCCCCACCGACTTGTTTGAGATCTTCATCGATATAGGACATTATGTTCGTGATATCAGTGCTTATGAAGAATTGGTATCAAAGTTGAATTTGTTAGTGGTAAGCCCTGAGTTTTAAATATTTGGGTAGGCTGGTATGTGGTCAGGAATGGAAATTATCATAGTGCCCATTTCCTTTTTATTTTTTTGTTTAGGAGGATGAACTGAAGCAAATTGCTGAAAATCTTGAAAGCATTAATCAGAATAAAGCTCCTTCGAAATACATAGGCAACTATGCGATTTTGGATCATCTTGGAAGTGGAGCTTTTGGCTGTGTCTACAAGGTGACTTTGCCCTTGGGGAAAAATATTTCTGATATTCCGAAGCAAACCAGATGTCCCACTTGCACACACCCACGCAACTGGGTTAGAGCCCTTGTTATTGAGAAATAGGTACAAATTAGAATGATTGTTTTTGCCCATCACATAGCTGTCCTGATGTTATCTTATCTCAGCTCTAGAAATTTGTCACTAATCTTTGAAGACAAAAGCCGTTGTTAATGTCTCACAAAAAAATAGTCAAAGAGGCTTGTCCCAGTGCATGAGACTTTCTCCAAATTCATACCAGAGTTTTCTATATTTACCCAGGAAAATCCTACCAAAGAGTGCAGACTGACCCAGGAGATACCAGTTTTTTGAGCTGAGCTTAGTGTACATACAGACAAAAATTTTAAAAATTCTGTTGCTTTTGTAGATTATTTAGATTACTTGTTTTAATCATGTGACTTATTAATCGATCTCTTTTTTTTTCCTTCTTTCTACCCCCACCCCATCATTATTATTTATTATTATTATCTTATTTTTTGTTTTTATTTTAGGTTAGAAAGCGTAGTGGTCAAAATCTTTTAGCAATGAAAGAGGTCAATTTACACAACCCAGCATTTGGAAAGGATAAAAAAGATCGAGACAGCAGTGTAAAGAATATTGTTTCTGAATTAACCATAATTAAAGAGCAGGTAAACGTTTTTCTTGTTTATGAAGATATGTTCCTTAACTAAGTGTCATTAAAAGAAAGTAGAGTTCTTGTGCTGTTCTTGTCCATGCTGTTTAAGAACTGGTTCTGTTTATAATAATTGATATTGAGGTGATAATATTTTGGTTAGATATTTTCCTGAAGGCTTGACATTGAACCATAGAAAGACTTCCTGGAGTTTATATCAGCGCTTGGGGTGCAGAATGTTTGGGTTTACAGCAGAGTGCCACCACATATATGGGAACACCCTTCTTTTTTCATTGCAAGCGTATCCATTTCCTTCTCATTATGTTGTAGAATATTTGGTTACTTAGTTACATGCATAAGCATATGACTAAGAGTTCCCTGACTTTTGTCAAGTGGAACCAAGCTGTTAACATTCCTCAAATACAGCTTATTAAATCTAAAAGTAGATTTTCAAGATGGGTTATTATTTATTGGAATGAGTGGAATATTCAGACATAATGTAACAACTCAGTTAACTATCATTATGAAGGTTTGTTTGGGGAGAAAGAATAAACATGTCAGAAGAGAAGTGAGATTGGATTTTGTGATCCGAGAATACATGGGTTTCTTTTTCAGCTTTCCTTATTTATACATTCATTATGGGTACTGTTCATTTGTAACTCCTGTGGAGAGTGACCAGCTTCCTTGCTCTTTATTCTCCATGAGTTAAATTTGCATAGCATCTGTGCTGGGACATAAAGATCACCAAATAAATATGATGATCTTTATTCATCAAAATATATAGTTCTAGCCCAATTCATAAATTGCAGTCCGTACTATCATTAATAGCTTAATTTATAGTTGACTTTCATATATAGTAATAGAGTGGACTTGAAGAAGAAGTTAGTGTCCACTCCCGCGTAGGATACTCTGATACTCAGCAGTATGCTGTTTCACTGTAGCACAAGGCTAGAGCATGGCTTTTGCTGCAAGCTGATCGAGTATCTTCATTTGAACCCTGATCTGGATATAGTCCTGGCCAGTGAGCTAGGCTTAGAATATGGTTCTGTTGCTTACCTGGTCCTGTATTGTTTAAAATCTGCTGGCCACTTGATAGTTGATGAAGTAGACCTTGTTTTAGCACGTTTCCTAAGAGAAGAAAGTATCAGGGTGGAGACGTATAAGAGGCATGTGTTTGGACTTAGAGAAAACTCAGAATTGTACAGTTGCACTCTTAAGAGGGGACTGAACCACAGGAAAGGATAATAACATTTAGAGGCCTAAAAGGAGGAGGTGATGGCAGACACAAGTGGCAGAAATGGAACTAGGAAAGGAGAGTGGGTTTGTTAAGAATGAGACTAAGCTGCAGTAAGAAAGAAGCTCCATATCCATTGGCCTAAACAAGAGGCTTGACAATGCAGTGAGCTATTTCTCTTTCATGTGACAATCCTAGAGTGAGTGGACCAAGATGGTGGTGGTCTCTGTTCCATGCAATCATTTGCGAATGTGGGTTCTTTCTCCCTTACTGCTCTGCTACCTCTAGGCCATTGTCTGCATCCGCTTGGTTGAAACTGCCACAGGCACGTTCACATCCAAGGTGAAAAAGGTAGAGCATGGTGGGGGGGTGTTCCCAGTGTTTAGGACTCAGACACAGGAGCACACGTGTTTCCCCTTACAGTCGCTTGGTGAGAACTTAGTGACAGTCCCTCTCAGGGCTGCAAGGCAGGCTGAGAGATGTAATCTCTGACTGGGAAGCCATGTTCCACCCGAACTCAACTGCAATGGAGGAATGGGAAGGGAGGTTTTTGGTGGACAGTTATCAGACTCCCCTTCAAAAACGCAAGAAAAGAGGCCAGAAAGAGATGCAAGCCATTTATAAATGTAATGTCAACTATTCTGAGATAGAATAAATTTCAATTTGCCTAGAAACTTAAATTATAAATAAGCAACTATAAAAATTTTAGTATTCTTATAGGAAAAGAAAGTTTTGAAAAAGTAGAATTTCTGTGTAATATCCTGAGGTAAATTTAGGCCAAAGAACTGAATACTTCTTACACATGGCAAGGAAAACTTCATTCAAGACTACTGCAATAGGAATTACAACAGGGGAGAGAGATTGAACTCAACTCTGAAGACAACAGCAATAGCTAGTGATTTACAACCAAGAGGCTGGGTGAGGGGGTGCCTAGATGGAAAATTACTCGGAAGGACTTCATTAGCTGTCAAAGATGGGTTGATGAGGAACTTGATTGGATATGAAGAGTGGGGAGATTCTTGCTAACCTGGCTTGGCAGGATCCTTGATAAAACCAGGCAGGCCAACCATGAAGAAGAGAGCTCCGAGAAGCCTGACTAAAGTTTGGCCAAGAAGGGAGTCCTTGCCAACTGTTATTATAATGTAAATGGAGTTAGTAATGCTTAGATTCTTTCAATTTCATACTAACCATTTTGGAGAGCATAGAAAGACACCAAGTGTGAATAGACATAAACAGTATATATGAATATTTAAGTAGCAGGGAGAGGTAAGAGGCAATGGTGTACCTATTCAACGTAAATTGCTTCATTGCAGTTTTCTTATCTTTGCAATGTGTGTGTAGTGGTGGGATGGGGAGCGCTAAATGAATTCTTCAGGTTACTTTGAGTTCTACAGTTCTCTGTTTTAGTTAAATTAGGGGATAAAGTACAATCAGTTTTTAATTCTAATTGATAAGGCTATATGGGAGATTGCTATTTTCAGATTAGTTTTGTAGGTAGCAAATAATAAGAGTCATGATAAAAATCTCAAATCTCAATTAGATGATATCTTGAAATGCTTAATTTTATAGATAAATATGAATGCAATAATTTCTGTGTTGTTTTCAATTATATTCAATTATAGTCCAATTATATTTTCAAGTAATGTAATGTTTGTTATTTATTTTCTTATAGCTCTATCATCCCAATGTTGTACGCTATTACAAAACATTTCTGGAAAGTAAGTATGAGTTTTCAGGATATTTCTAATTAAGGAAAAGTATCTATATTATATATTTCTATATTAGAATGTCACAGAATAAACTTAATTCTTTTCTTTTTTTCCAACTATTTTCTTTATTTGTGGAAGATCTTGTGCATCACTTTTTTTTTTATTCT